ACCTCACTCTCCCTGAGTGTGTTCTTTGAGCATGTGTGAGTTTTACCAAGAGGCAGCTCCGAGTCAGTGGGAGGAGCATTGCTGTGGAGATGGAAGTCAAGGGAAAGTCATGGAAACTCTCTGAGGTTGAGTGTGCACCTATCGGAAAGGACGGCTACAGTCCTGGCCTCCTACAGGGGGGTCGTGCAGATGTTGTGATGGACATGATCCCACTCAAGGCTCTCTTTGATGTCACCATTCGCTCAGCCACAGGGATGCTTTTACTGGACAGGATTAGACCATGGAAGAAAGGATGTTAGGAAAAGAAAATTGAGGGAGAACAGAAGGAACGGTAGGGAAAAGGGTTTCTTCCAGTTGTTTTTTTTTTTCCAAGTACAATCTTAAAGAGAACTAAGCAGACATGAGGATAAGTCACGACACCCCTTCCTCCCTCAGGAGGCTCCTTGGAGCCTGCCGTTAGCCAGTGAGACACACCAGCTGCCACTGTGGATCTTACACAAATAAACAGAAGCCTAATACTGGATGGTCAGTATTTTAATAGCAGGATGTATGTGGAGTTTCATGGACAAGTGGGAGTCAGCCAAGGAAGGCTGCCAAGAGGAGGGGGTGACTGAAGATCAGAGCAGAAGCTGAGGGACTAGGAATGAGTTGGATGAGGAGTATTTCAGGCAAAGTGTGCGAGGTGGAAAAGAAAGCGAATGCGGCTAGAGGGGGCCCACCTAAGCGTGCATGCATGTGCCTGCATTACACTGGAGAAGGTATGGCAGGAAGGGCTGGCGCCGCGGCTCACTAGGCTAATCCTCCACCTGCGGCGCTGGCACACCGGGTTCTAGTCCCAGTCAGGCTGCCGGATTCTGTCCCAGTTGCCTCTCTTCCAGTCCAGCTCTCTGCTGTGGCCAGGGAGTGCAGTGGAGGATGGCCCAAGTGCTTGGGCCCTGCACCCCATGGGAGACCAGGAGAAGCACCTGGCTCCTGGCTTCGGATCAGCGAGGTGTGCCAGCTGCAGCGCGCCGGCCATGGCGGCCATTGGAGGGTGAACCAACGGCAAAGGAAGACCTTTCTCTCTCTCTCTCTCTCTCTCTCTCTCTCTCACTGTCCACTCTGCCTGTCAGAAAAAAAGAAAAAAAAAGAAGGTATGGCAGGAAGAAAAGCTGAGGGGACAAACAGCAGGCAGACGGTGAAATAAAGTGCAGTTCTTCCAAGGAGTTGGGGACTTCTGTTAAGGCTGCAGGACTCACAGCTTTGTACGTGATAAATCTGGAATTATAGAAATGTCTCTCTGGAATTAGCATAAGGAACACCTTAGGGAGGGTCAAGGCTGCAGGTGGCCAGGGCCAACTGGTGAAATTCTGGGGGACTGAAAGGCGAGCTGACACAGCCCCATTTTCTTTTTCTGTCCATGTTGGTCCAGGTCAGGTGTCCCGGATGAGCAGAGGAAACAGTTTTGGAGAGAACGTGTGGGGGTTAAACGGTAGGGGCAGGTTGGGTGTGGCCATGCACAATCAGTGCCAGCCCCTCTGTAAGTCTAAAGAAGGGGGAGGGTGCAGCATCGAGGCCCCAGGAGCTTGTCCAGGGTAAATATGAGAGCAGAAGGATATATCCTGGCTGGCAATGGTGGCCTTTAACTGACACAGCAGGTCAGGACTCATCTCTGCAGGCTGTCTATGGTGCTGCCCAGCAGGGAGCAGACCCACAAAGGAACTCACAGGGCCACAGCAGAGACCAAGCAAAGAGTGAGCTTTGGTAAAGGCAGCATTGTGACATGCTGGGGAGTGTTTGCCAGCTCACAGCAGCCTCAAAGCTGCAGAACACCCAGCCTGGAAACAAAGTCCCCAGTGGGCTCTGTGCTGTGTGTGGGTTTCCTCCCTGGAGGTCAGCCCTGAAAGGAGGGAGTGCAGGAGTAAAGGGGAGGATACGGGTCCCCTGTCTCTGATGCCCAGGCATCTTCTTCTGCAGGTGCACAGAGCTGGCAAGGAGGGAATGGCTGTTGCTCAGGGATTGCATGGGATTGGGTTTCAAAGTTGTGCGAGGGGGCCTTCAAAAGGTTCATGAAAAAGGTGCATTATCTTTTTTAAAGATTGATTTTATTTACTTGAAAGGCAGAGTTACAAACACAGAGAGAAAGGCAAAGAGAGGGGGGAGAGGGGACTCTTCCATCTGCTGGTTCACTCCCCAGAAGGTTGCAATGGCTGGGACTGGGCCAGACTAAAGCCAGGAACCTGGAACTTCTGGGTTTCCCATGTGGGTGCAGGGGCCATCTTCTGCTGCTTTTCCCAGGCAAGTTAATAGGGAGCTGGATCAGAAGTGAAGCAGCCAGGACTCGAACTGGCACCCATATGGGATGCTGGCATTGCACCAGCAACTTAACCCATTACATCACAGTGCTGGCCCCAAGGTGCATTATCTTTTAATTCCACTTGTCGGTCAACCTTTTGAGGAGCCAAGTGCTGACAGCAGCGTGTCCTGCCAGGAGCACTGGTGGCAAGCAGGTGTGCAAGACATACCTGAAATCATGCCATACAGCATGCACCCATGCAGACAGAATGAGACCAGGATTCAGCCCAGTGAAACCTGAGGTGCAGCTCCCACAAAGATCTGTTGGACCTCAGCCCCCAGGTACAGCAAGGATCTTTATGGGAGCGGCCCAGAGGCAAAGCGCCCCTCAAAGGAGAGAAATGCAACCTCTCACCCTGGAAGGCAACAGGATGTAGCTTCTCTCCTTTGACTCCACAGAAGACGCTGTGTAGAAAACAGAGTATGTAGGGAGCAGGAGCAAATCACAGTCCTGCCTCAGTACACACACTGATTCACCCAACTGTCCATAGAAAATGCTCAGGGAGCTGGCGCCATGGCTCACTTGGTTAATCCTCTGCCTGCAGCGCCGACATCCCATATGGGCGCCAGGTTCTAGTCCCAGTTGCTCCTCTTCCAGTCCAGCTCTCTGCTGTGGCCCGGGAAGGCAGTGGAGGATGGCCCAAATGCTTGGGCGCCTGCACCCGCGTGGGAGACCAGGAAAGGCACCTGGCTCCTGGCTTCGGATCGGCGCAGTGCCGGCAGTAGCGGCCATTTGGGGGGTGAACCAACGGAAAGAAGACCTTTCTCTCTGTCTCTCCCTCTCACTGTCTAACTCTGCCTAATAAAAAAAAAAAAGGAAGAAAATGCTCAGGGAAAAACTGCATCTGTACAGAATATGGGCGGATGCTTTTTCTTATAATTATTCCCTAAGCAATATAGTCTAGCAACTCTTTATTTTGCATTTTACTGTATTAGGTATTATCAGTCATCTAGAGAAGATTAAAGGCATAGGGAAAGTTGTGCATGGGTTAAGTGAAAATATGATGCTGTTTTTTATAAGGGATGTGAGCATCCTCAGATTTTGGGGGGTTCAGGATCCAGTTTCCCATAATACTGGGGGGTGGGGGGATGTATATTCTAGAAGATACAGCCTATTAGTGACAGATAGTGACCAATCACATAAGACAGGCACCTCTTTAATTGACAAGAAGTTCCCACAACTGCCTTGCAGGCCTGCTCTTCTGTCACCTGCCTTGATGCCCAGGAGCTGGCCTTCTTGCAGGACAGGTATTGCCAGGGCTTCTTGGCATGCAGATCTGCATCCTTGGCATCACTGCACACCAGACAGCGGGGACATCTGAGGTTGGATGACCTGTTGCCTTTCAAACTGGGTCTGTTAAGCCACTGCTCCCAAATAGAGATTTATCCAAAAGGATTCATTAAGACATCAAATCATGTGGCCACAGCCTGTGGGCTGCAAGCTCTAGGATTCGATGGAATGATCGCATATGGAACCCAGGAGCTTGTTTTGTTTCTGCTTTGCTTTGGCCAGAAGTGTCACAGCGCTGTGCATCCACAATAGGCCAGCGGACTCTGGCTTTGTTCCTTATTCCCCAACCATGAGGACTCAGACTTAATGAAGCCGGGAGCTTGGAAACACCTCCACTGGATTCAGTGCAGCAGTGCATGCCAGAGCACGTCCCCTGTCCGGTTCATTAGGTGCCTAACTCATCTGGGCATCAAAATTATGTACAGCTCAGGAATCTGTTGGGAGGGTTGCTGGCCACCAGGGCGGAGGTAGCCAGGAAGTTTATGTTTCAGAACAGTAAGGGAGCTGCTGGGGGATTTACCCACCCTGCAGTTGTCTTGCCTCTCTGTTTGGCTCCATCTCAACATCTGTTTCCAGGACTGGCTGATGTGTGCCTGGCAGGGAAGTAGGCCCCCTCCATCTCCCACCTACCAGCAAAAACCAGGGCAGTCCACATACATCTCCAGCCACACCTGCTCACAGCAACAGGCCCCCGTCTCTGTCTTTGATCCCGTCTCCACACTGTGGGCTGGGGTGACCTTTCTTCAGCACGTTTACTTGAGCTGAGTCTGTGGTTACCTTGTCCAGATGGGGAAACAGCCGAGCGCTCCAGGCAGAACCCCAGTGCCCTGCCTTGTGCTAGAGTGATTGACAGGATGCACTCTGTGCCCAGTGCAGTAGCAGCCGCCGACAGACAGATTGCTGTACCCCACAGGTCCTTTCCTAACACCAGGTGCAGCAGCTGGAGGGTTGTGTAGATGCTGAAGGCAGTCAGTGTTCAGAAGCGGGTGGGGATGCTGCAAGCAACACGGGGGCTTCACTCGATTGCAGCTCTTGGTTGGGTATCAAACAGACGTCGTCTTCTCGAACTTTACTCTGAGCCATGACCTCAGCTCGTGACAACACAGGATAAAATAAATAAAGGACCCCAGGGCATCTAACCCGAGCCTCACCCTCTCTCCTTGCAAAGGAGGGCCTCCCATTGTGTGGTGTGCACCCATGGGGAGGAAGCCGTAGGGAGTTCATTGCTATCCTGGAACTGGAAACATGGAAGGTTCCACCTAGAGGGATGCCCAGGCCCAGTGACAGCAGCCCTGGCCGTGGGTGTGTGTGTGGGGAGGGGGGTCTCTGTCCATCTTATCACAAGGGGCTCCTAAGTCGTGTGTTTTCTCTGCAGGCCCAGGCGCAGTCAGCGAGGTGAGCAACGGGACGTCACGGAGGGCGGGCTGCGCTTGGCTGCTTTCGGTCCTGGTCTTGCACCTGCTGCTGAAATTTTGATGTGAGTGCCACCTCCCCAGCGGGGAAAGCTGCCGCCACGGTCACCACCTATACAACAGCATCGGCACCACGACAGCAACAATTAAGATAGAATCAAATGAAATTCGGAGAATCCAAGCCTAAGGGGACAGAAATTTGAGGGAGGGGAACAAAGAATACTTTGGGAAACACAAATGTTTAAAAAAAAAAAAAAAGGAAATTGCAAATTGCCTTGCGGATCTGTAGGTACAAGCGAGTTTTCTTTCTTTGCCCTCGCGGGAAGAAGGCACACCCGGCTTGGACCCACCCGCAAGCTGCGCTGTGCGACCTCTCTGCTGCCAGGGTGGGCGAGGGCTCAGCCAGTCTGACCACTGAAGCGCCCCTCTGTGGAACATTCTGGAGGCAGCCACCCAGGCCGCCGATAGAGAGGGACACAGCGCGAGACGCGGGACCCGGGGAGCCGCGGCGGGCCCTTCGGTAGACTGCCGTTGCGCTGCCTGTTGCCGAATCTAAGGAAGATCTAAGGAAAAGCAAGCAAGCAAACAAAACAGCCTGACAGCAGCAACAAACAGCCCCAGCCCCACACCCAGCAGTCACAAACGATACCGACCCACGGCGCTTTTTCGTTTTTTGTTTGTTTGTTTGTTTTTCATTTTACTACATGGACATCACGGATAATAAGGGATTCTGATTCATTATTAATTTTATTAATTATATTTTCTGATATGAGTCTAGAGCTTAGTGCACAAACAAGATGAAACTAAGAACACAGGCCAACGGAAGGGGTGAAGGAAGGGATGTTTGTTAAGCATTCCAGACGCGTAGTGTGCTTCTGAACTGGGTTTACAACGGGTGGACCACACACTGGGCATTAACCACCTGGCGAGCATTTGGCACAGCCACCGAAAACCGCATCCGACTTGACGGACATCTCCACCAGCGCGACAGATCCCTCGTTGTTCTGGCTTTAACGCACAGACGGAACGACGCTACCCACATCCTGGCTGGAACGCACTGGGTCTCGGCTTCGTTGGCAATGCTTCTTTTGATGACATATATTATACAGTATATATATGCATATATTTTTTTTGTTAGAGTTCTAGCCGTTTAATTTCCCAGCAGGGCCCTATCTCAGACATTACTGCATGCTGTATATGGCGTTAGCTGTGTGTTGATCTTCTACAAGATGATAGAGTTTACTGGTAATTGTGTAATCTGCTCCTGCCTTTTGATTTTCTTGGGTTATTCACATGTCAGAGACATTTATAAAAAGTAAAAAAAAAAAAAAAAGAAAAAAAAAGAAAAAGCAACAGCAGCAACAACTAATACCAGGCGCAGCACCTTTGCAGGTGTGGTTCTTGGGGGCGGGCCCCGGGTGGCCTCGCTCCCCCACCACGCCCCGGGCATTAACAAGCAGCAAGCCGCTGAACAAACTCACCGTTGGTAACCACGTGCTTTCGCCCGCCACGGGAATCTGATGGTTTCGTGACAGACCGCTGGAGAATTTAATCCTCTTGGTTTGTTTTATTTAATTTCCCACCTTTGTGTGAGTGTGTATGGAAGAGGAGAAAATGCAGTTTTTAGGTAACCTTTTCTTTCCTCCCCTGGAGTCTGGGCACCAGAGAGGCCTCCAGGAGGGGTCCTGGACGTGATGAGGGAGAGAGGGAAGGGGGATGGGGAGGGAGGGCTTGTCTCTGACTTGACATTAAAAAGTGTTCCATGTCCCTCTTCACCTGGTGTGGCGCCTCATTCTGCAGCTGGGCTTGGGTTGGAAATATAGGGAGGGGGCTGGGCTCTCAGACCCCTCCTGGTGGGTTGGGGGTGGATCTTTCTGTGGCCACAGCTCTATGACATAAGCAGGGTTGTGTGAGACACCTCGACCTTCCTTAGGGAAGCAAGATGAGGGCCCCATCTGATGGAGGCTTCAGCGGGTTGTTGGCTGAGGCTCCCGCATCTTGCTTTATTCACACACTGGGGCCCTGGGTCAAGTTCAGCTGGGGAGGCAGCAGATAGGAGGCAGCAGAATGTTGCTATCACATGCACACACACAAGACTTAAAACAGTGTGGTTAATACTAAAGAATCCCAAATCCCATCCACCAGGGGTTGGGAACTCTCGTCTCCATGCCTGGTCCAAAGAACATCAGCTACAAGTCAAGAGGAAAGATCAGATTCTAAAACGATTATTCAAGTAATTCTAAGCTGTTCTGATCGATTTCTGGGAATTAAATAAGTAGCTGAAGAGTCATCCAGAGATAGAAATCAGAGCCAAACACTCAGGGGTCACTGTGCCAGTGTTTGCAGGGGTTCATTCAGCCCAGGAAGAGTCAGCCCTGTCTGAGGGTGGCCAGTCCCGGCCGCTATAGGGAAACTGAGAGAAGATCCCCAGTGTCCCCTTTCTCTGGGCCCTTCTGTCCCCCCAGCACCTCCACCCTTGGATGCCAGACACCCTGACTTCTTCCTGGCAGCTAGGTGTGACCATCATGGTGACTGCCTGGTAGTGTCCTTCCATTTGTTCCACAGCCCCAGAAGGTGAGGGGTGTTTGGATCTCCTTAGAATGAGCACAGGAAGATGCGACCCAGAAGCTCTCCCGTGCCCAGCACCTCCTGCCATTCACCAGATGTTGGGGTGCACATCAAGTCTCATGGGATCAGAGTGGGAAAAGCACAGATGACATTGTTATTCCAACAGTGGAGCCCAGAAGCTCCTCTGGAGAAAATGGGCCAAGGCACCTGCAAAGAAGTGTTTCCTAGGTTTTGTTGGGGAGAGGGAGCATAGTGCACATAACCACGGTTTGAATGGGAGCTTTCAGCTCTAGTAATACCTGCCAGACAACTTCTGGTTGACATCAGTGGTATCTTGCTCTGCTATTCCTGCTTCAGAAGGCTTAATGACGCCTTCCCAGCAGTGAGTGGCCAGTCAGGGCCAAGTCTATACAGCGGCCCTGAAAAGTAAGACTTAATTGGGGCCGTCACCACGGCTCAATAGGCTAATCCTCCACCTGTGGCACCGGCACACTGGGTTCTAGTCCCGGTCGGGGCGCCGGATTCTGTCCCTGTTGCCCCTCTTCCAGGCCAGCTCTCTGCTGTGGCCAGGGAGTGCAGTGGAGGATGGCCCAAGTGCTTGGGCCCTGCACCCCATGGGAGACCAGGAGAAGCACCTGGCTCCTGCCTTCGGATCAGCGCAGTGCGCTGGCCGCAGCACGCCAGCCTCGGCGGCCATTGGAGGGTGAACCAATGGCAAAGGAAGACCTTTCTCTCTGTCTCTCTCTCTCACTGTCCACTCTGCCTGTCAAAAAGCAAAAAAGACTTAATTGGACTTATCTGCCAATTCGATAGTCATGTAGCCTTGTGATTCTTTAGATTTCTGGCTGCACGAGAGCCTGTTCTTTGTAGAACCAGCTTTACCGTGGCTGATGAGTTCTCCAGATGGAAAATCTTCCTGTGTTGCCTCCAGAGCCGTGTCCTCTCATCATCTATCTGCCTAGCGGGACACACAGCCCCATCTGCTGAGCAGTCTTTACCTTCCAGCAGCATATCTGGCATGCAGATACGTGAGCGTGGGTAAATCTTGGCTCAGCAGTGCTTCTAAACTGTGGGCCTGAATGTGTGACTTGAAGTGCTTGTGATTTCTGTCCCTTGAGCCGAAAGAAAAACCATGCCTGAGTTCTCTCAATAGCAGAGGATCCACAAACATTGCTGCTCCGGATGGTGATGGTGACAGAGGTAAGGGGGGTCACTGTATTCCACTGAGCTCACCCTGTGTTTATCTTATGTCTCCTAAATCCTAAGTAGCGTCAGTCAATCATGGGAATCTAATGCATGAACCTGTTTGACTTTTTTAAAAAGTGTAAAGTGTGGGCTCAGGTGAACAGGAACAATCTTCTGTCCCAGAAATGGTAAACGTGTGATGCTTACCTCTCATCAGAAGAGGGAAATACATGTGAAAAGAAGTCCCTGGAAAGCTGTAGGTCTCCATCACATTGCCTTTGGCCAAAGGTGTACACACATACCAAGACCTTGGCACTGCAACCAATGGGCAACTTAAAATCATTGAGGTTAATAGCATCTGAGAAAGGAACTCAGTACTACCTCTTTTCAGCAATGTGAAACACTTTTTTAGAAGGCTTTTATTTAATGAATACAAATTTCACAGGCACAGCTTTAGAAATATAGTGGTTCTTCCTCCTCATACCTGCCCTCCCACCCCCACTCCCACCCCACCTCCTACTCCCTCTCCCATCCCATTCTTCATTAAGATTGCTTTTAATTAACCTTATATACTAAATACCAAGTCTATACTAAGTAAAGATTTCAACAGTTTGCACACACACACACACAAGTATGAAGTACTGTTTGAGAACAAGTTTTACAGTTAATTATCATAGTACAACTCATTAAGGACAGAGGTCCTACATGTTGAGCAAGTGCACAGTGGCTCCTGTTGTTGATTTAACAATTGACACTCTTATTTATGACATCAGTGATCATCCAAGGCTCTTGACATGGGCTGCCAAAGCTATGGTAGCCTTTTGAGCTCACAAACTCTGTCAGTATGTAGACAGGATCATAAGCAAAATGGAAGTTCTCTCCTCCCTTCAGAGAAAAGTACATCCTTCTTTGATGGTCTCTTCTTTCCAATAGGGTCTCACTCACAGATCCTTCATGTAGGACACTTTTTTGCCACAGTGTCTTGGCTTTCCATGCCTGAAATGCTCTCAATGGCTTTTCAGCCAGATCTGAATGTCTTAAGGTCAGAGTTCTGTTTAGGGTGAATATAACACACTCCTAATTTTTAAATCGAATCCCAGAGTGAACTTGGCTCAAAAGTTGCATGCTGGGATTTGATGATAAGGACGCATCTCCTTTGTCATCCATAATGGCTCAACCAAGGTACTATGGGAGCATCAGTTCTTAGCCCTCTCTCTTTTGAATTCAAAACCTATTTCCATGAGTGACCAACTCCATCAGCCTCTGAGACACTACATGTATGTACATGTCCCTGTGACCTGTGACTGAGTTCCTTGAATCTCCACATCGCTGTTCAGACTTCCCTGTTTCCCCCACCTGCATCTTTCTCCCTTGGTACCCCATCACATGATTAAAATCTCATTGCTGTTAGTGGAAAAGACTCCCTAATGTCTGAGCTCAAGTTAAGATCAGTTCTTGGCCGGCGCCGCAGCTCAATAGGCTAATCCTCTGCCTGCGGTGCCGGCACACCAGGTTCTAGTCCCGGTCGGGGCACTGGTTCTGTCCCTGTTGCTCCTCTTCCAGGCCAGCTCTCTGCTGTGGCCCAGGAGTGCAGTGGAGGATGGCCCAAGTGCTTGGGCGTTGTACCCGCATGGGAGACCAGGAGAAGCACCTGGCTCCTGGCTTCGGATCATCCTGCTGCGCCGGCCACAGCGCACTGACCGCAGCGGCAAATGGGAGGTGAACCAACAGCAAAGGAAGACCTTTCTCTCTGTCTCTCTCTCTCACTGTCCACTCTGCCTGTCAAAAAAAAAAAAAAAAAAAAAAGAAAGAAAGATCAGTATACTGATGTGTTTTTCTATAGGGTCCTTAATGAAAGTGACAGATTTAGTCTTAGTTTTTGTTGTTGCTGTTTAGATTTATTTATTTGAAAGGCAGAGTTACAGAGCACGCATGTGGTGGGGTGGGGTGGGGGAGAGAGAGAGAGAGATCTTTCATTCACTGGTTCACTCCTCAAATTGCCACAGTTGATGGGACTAAGCCAGGAGGCTGAAGCCAGAAGCCTGAAACTCCATCTGTGTCTCCCACACCAGTGCAAGGGGCCCAAGCACTGTGCCATGTTCCATTGCCTTCTCTGGCAGAGAGCAGGAATGGAATTGGAGTAATCAGGACTTGAACTGATGCCCATATGAGATCCTGGCACTTCAGGCAGTGGCTTAATCTGCTATGCCACAGTACCAAGCCCCCTGGTCTTAGTTTCGTGAATGTTGAGTTTACTCCCATGCAAACCTCTTAATAACTTGACTAGATATACTGACACATTGTGAAAGTACTGAATTTATGTATCTTAGGGATTGCTAGCATTCTTTGCAAAATGCATTATCCCCCTACCAGTACATTTTTTGGATTAGCGCTTCCTAGAGGGCCAAGAGCACTTACCTTATTTCCAGGGAAGCTTTTGTTTGGGAACTTGAATGTCAGTGCTGATTGGATACAGCACTGAACTGCTAATCAGTTTTAGTGCAAGCTCCATGAATGGCTAGCTGAGCTCCATTTATATAAAGTGTTATGATGGGAGATTGCTTATGTTCCATATAGCTTTAAAATTCAGTAATTGAGGGGCTGGTACTGTGGTGTAGTGTGTAAAGCCACTGCCTGCAGTGCTGGCATCCCATATGGGCACTGGGTTCAAGTCCTGGGTGCTCTACTTCCAATCCAACTCCCTGCTATGGCCTGGGAAAGCAGAAAAAAGATGACCTAAGTCCTTGGGCCCCTGCACCTGCATAGGAAACCTGGAAAAAGCTCCTGGCTCCTGGCTTCAGATTGGCACAGCTCCAGCCATTGTGGCCATCTGGGAAGTGAATCAATAGATGGAAGACCCTCCCCTACCTCTGCTTCTCTGTAATTCTTTCAAATAAATAAATAAATAAATATTTTTAAAAATCTAATAATGGAGTGATTTAGGTTTTTTTGTGATCATTGTAAGAAAAATTGGGAAAGGCAGCATTTTTGATCAGTGGACATGGAAGGTGTGAACGTGGCA